CGCACGCAGGATGTTTGCGTAAGGTTGCACGGCTGCTGGCCAGTCCCCTACCGACCAACGATGCCAGTCATATGTGGTAATCACGGCCCCGGCCTCGCGAACCCCCACAGTAAATACACCCAAGCATACACACATAGGGGAGATAAAGTTGCGATGATCACTGCTCACAGGCACTGTGGGACTTCTTACAGCCGTTAGTACATATATGAGATCGCAGGCAACCCCAAATCCAGATCCGAGCCACAAGGTCTACCTGCAATCACATCAAATAATAGAGAAGCAACCACGCACTACACGCAGTCAACCCAACCAATCTCCACACTCATACCCCTTGCTTTAGCCATGCAAACCCCAATCTCCTGTCCAACCAACCATAATTAAATACTCAATACCTTTCTCGATGCTTTATTCCTTTATGCTCAACTGACATAGGGCATAAAGTCAGGCCGTCCAATCTTATGGAACTTGTCTGACTCAGCCAATGAGTATACACGAACATGTTGCACAACTACTTCTCTCGTCCTTTTGGGCATATGACTAAGCCGTTCATCTTAGAACAAGGCTTAGTCGCCCAGAACTGTTTAATATCCAGATTATATATACCTCTCTGAACTTAATGTTCAAACATTGGGCATAGGACTGAGCCGTTCATCTTAGAACAAGGCCCGGCCTGCCCAGGGTTACCTTCAATTATACTGTTAGTTATACTCTCTTCATTTTATGATAAGCTATAGCCAAGCCGTCCAATCTTATGGAACCCATGCCTGACTAGCCTGTTCATAAATAGGATAGCATAAAATATAGCCAAAAATTTAACCTTTTGGGTTCCAGCATGTGCGAGGCATTGGGCCAGACCGTCCAATCTTATGGAACATATCTGGTCGTGTGCCAGGTTCGTTTCTTTCTGATCCACTGTGTGTGGCATGAGTCCAAGGCCATCCAATCTTATGGACATGCCCTGCCCTCGACAAGAATTACCCCCTCAGAATAAAGCAAGAGGGGGGCTGACCCGTCCAATCTTATGGACTTGCTCAGACCTCCTCGATCAGAAACAAAAGAAACAAAACAAACCCCAATCAAACATGACAACCAAACCGTCCAATCTTATGGTACAGGTTCGGCCCCTGAAAAGTCAGCCACAGTCAAACCCTCACAATTCAGAGCAATGAGACCGTCCAATCTTATGGAACTGGCCTGACTCTCCATGCAAACTCAAGAATAAACACAACGGTCAGGCCGTCCAATCTTATGTAACTGGTCTAACCCCATAGGACCCATTCACGCTCAAGCAAACCACCTTTCACCCACCCTTTCCCCAGATGCAACCCCTTGTGTTCACAATCTGCCATCAGGCGATCAACAAAGACTCAAATTGAGATTGCGCACACATTTCTTTACTTAATCTGAGTGGTGTCCTGCCAGTCAAACTAAAGTCAAAATAGGGCTGCATACAATATGCTCAGTCAATACATAGGACGCTGTACAAATAGGGGTTATACTAGGGTATATAGATGGAAAGCAATGGTTACCTTTCAATTCACTGCCTCCAGAGCCTCGCCTAGGTTCCGACGGAGCTCCCGCAATCGGTGGGGCAACCTCCCACAAAGGCCTTGGCGCGGGTTACGGGTTGCAATCCCGCCTGCCGCCTTCCTCTCAGAACCAATGGACTAGACTTAGAGGAAGAAGGGCAGAAGTAGAAAGGTTTAGTCTCTCAAATACAAGAATTGTGCACTCAGACTCGCAGGAGAGGGCCTTGTTGCCTTGATGCGCCTGAGGGCCCCGCAATGGCAGCCAACTGATAGCTTGGTCAACAAAATCAAACTACCGGAACCAATCCCCTCCTGACGAACCCTCAAACCACAACATCAACCCCCTACTTGTCTTGTCCGGTCATCTCCCTGAGCCTCAACACCTCACCCTTAGCCCAACCCCGGCCTCACAGCAACCTGTAGCAGCCCAATAAACACAGTCGCAGTACTCAGCAGCGGTCAACAACACAGCTGCAGCCGCCCGTAGCCGCAGCCCAGTCACAGTCCACTCACTCAGTAGCGATGCCCTGCCACAGTGACCAACCACAACACTAGCAGCCCGTGCACAACCTATATCAGCCTGCAGTAATAGCTTGTGTCCTGCCCGTAGCCACGAGTAGCAGCGGTAGCGCTCACCAGGCCCCCTGTTACATACTTCAATGAGTATGGGCAGAACCAAAGATCAACCAATATAGGATGAGCATTTATGCAGCGGAAGTCTGATAACGAACTGACTCACATAGACTGACTCACATAGACTGACCTACATGGCATCACTCCACACACATACAATCATGAGATGGTGGGGTCTGGGTCATGCATAGACGATACCCAGATCCCGTACACACATACACAAATGAAAGGTGGGAGGAGAGACGAAGGAGGTAGGAGGTAGATCACACCGATAGGTCACAAGATAGAGTCCGGTAGGTCTCCGAAATGGTAGTCCARAATGTCMTATAACAAGATYAAATTGTCGAGGACCAAAGGTCACCAATGTCGGAGATAACCGAGTCCAGATGTAACCGGTGTCCAACTGTGATGCAGCCGAGTATCAACCTCAACAATCTCCAAGTCTCCAATCCGGTAAGTACCACAGTCTCGTATCCCCGAAGTCCAACTCTGATCTCTGTCCAACTGGATAGTCTCCAATCTGAAGAAGAAGAAGAAGAAGAAGAAG